CCATATATTAGCTGCTTTGCATATTGAACAGCTCCAGAAAGACACAAGAATGTAGTACCAGTGGTTCCTCCAGAGAGGAGAACTGGACGCCTGGCAGCAGAAAAGAGAAAGAGATTTATTTTTCACTATTTCCTTTTTTAGCTTTTGGATATTATAAAGTGCTTGCATCAACTATTTAAAAAATAATTGTTTTAGGGGCTGGCCCCGTGGCCGAGTGGTTAAGTTCACGCACTCCGCTGCAGGCTGCCCAGTGTTTCATTGGTTCGAATCCTGGGCACGGACATGGTACTGCTCATCAAACCACGCTGAGGCAGCGTCCCACATGCCACAACTGGAAGGACCCACAACGAAGAATATACAACTATGTACCGGGGAGCTTTGGGGGAAAAAAAGGAAAAAAATAAAATCTTTAAAAAAAAAATGATAATGTTTTAAAATAGTCATTTTAGTTCAAGTCAAATCTATTTTTCATTGTCTATTCTTTGTTATGTAGCTTTTGAGAGGCTTAAATGAGAGAAAATAGCATTTTAGATCATTTAAAAATAAAATTTTGGGGGCCGGCCCTGTGGTGCCGCAGTTAAATGCGCACGTTCCGCTTCTCGGTGGCCCGGGGTTCGCTGGTTCGGATCCCGGGTGCAGACATGGCACCACTCGGCACATCATGCTGTGGTAGGCGTCCCACGTATAAAGCAGAGGAAGATGGGCACGGATGTTAGCTCAGGGCCATGCTTCCTCAGCAAAAAGAGGAGGACTGGCAGTAGTTAGCGCAGGGCTAAGCTTCCTCAAAAAAAAAAAAAACATTTTATTTAATCTGAGTCAATCATACTAGTATGTGCTATAGTATGTGACAATTTTTATATTATACATTTGAAACAGTATTATAATCATTTTAATTTATTAAATTGATATATGCACTAGCTACATTATAAATATATAATACAAATATTTGTTTTTCTGTGAAACTTACATATTTGTAATTTGAATTTTGAGTTATTAAAAGGCAAACAAAAATTACATTACATGCTTTCACAAACCTCTAATGTGTTTATTTCATTTTCCTTTATTATTACTATAAACGCAAGATTTCTTTTAGTCATTTTATCTTTAAAAAATGCTTAATAGAACTTTTAAATGGTAACTATAGTTAACAATACTGTATCATATATTTAAAAGTTCCTAAGAGAGTTGATCTTAGAAGTTCTCACACACAAATTGTAACTATTTGAGGTGATAGACGTGTTAACTAACCTTATTGTGGTAATCATTTCACAATATAGACACATATCAAGTCATCACATTGTATACCTTAAATTTACTCAATTTTACATGTCAATTATACCTCAATAAAGCTAGTAAGATGGGGGGAAAGAACTTTTAAGATTCTCATTCCAACTCCAGTAATACTTGCTAGAGGCAAATGTCACAATGAAATCCATCAAAACATGCTCCTGTGTTCTTCCTACACACAAATGATACCTGTCATCCCTCCACTGCTGTGTTACTGTAATTCAGTCAAGTTGGTCGTGGATCATAAAGGTTCTATTTTTTATCTAACTTAAACAGTTATTGAATTTTAATCTAGTGAAGACTAATCCATTCTGAAGAAGAAATTCCCAATCATCTCTCAGATACCCAAGGTAACTTGGTTTTTTAAAAAAATCCTTCTCCAAAGTGTATTTCTAAAGGCAATTGTGAAATTTTTGTATTTGAAAGTCATATATACATAGTCAATAAAACATAATTATTACTGTTGTGAAAGCCATCTGTTTGAGATAAAAAGATAAGAGGTAGCTTGGTTAGGTTTTTAAAAAAATATTATTTTAACATCCAAGGAGAATGAGAGTAATTTAAATGTATGAGAATCCTGTTAATGAGTAAGGCATTTGGGATCCAATAATCTACAGTAAACCAAATGATGTATGAAAAAAGTTACTGATCTCATGCATAGATTCCAACATACAGATATTCAGCATTCTTTATATAACAGTATGGATCAGAAGCTCTGAATATACATACGCCTGGAAGAATTAGTGTCCCCTTACACAATTCGTCTGGATAGTGTTATGTGCCAAAAAAGAAAACAAAGAACAGGAGAAGGAAGGCAGGAAAATGTAAGGGGTAACACAGCATTATATGATTTATCAGGATTTGAGACACCGTTACTTCATTTCAAATATTGCTGGAGAAAAAAATACCCCACGCTACTACTATCCTTGCTAGCTTCTCTTTAAACATCTTTGTTTAGTAACCATGATACTGTTTGTTATTGTCCCATCTTATGAGAGGAGATTAGCAGCAGCTGCTAATGTTGAGAACTAAAACAACTAATCCTTCTTTGGTTGAGTGGACATTTGTTTATTGCCTACCCAGCATCCATTCCAACTTCTATCTTCATACAGCACTTAGATTTTCTTCTGGGGAAGCTACCCCTTGCTGTTTGAGTGGAATTTACCTCACTCCTAACTGCAGGCGCGGGTCCGATTGACCCACATCAATCAGCGTAACTCCATCCCTTTGCCACTCTGACTGGTTGAGGGAGAGTCATATGTATGTTCATTGCTGTATACTAATTTTGTAACTAACAACTTTATTGTATTCTTTTACTATTTGTAAGATTTTCTTGTATTTTTCAAATAGACGATCATATCATCTGGAAATTATGATGCCTGTACCCCATTTTATCTCTTTTTTTCCCCCTAATTGCGTGAGCTAGTACCTCTAGAAGAGTGTTAAATAAAGATCAGTGTTAACCTCTAGAACATTCTTCACTTCTTCCTGTCTTCAGTGAGGATGTTTCTAGTATTTAGCCCTTCAGCATAATGCTAGCTTTAGAGTTTAGGTAACTATATCTTATCAGGTCAAGGAAGTTTCCTTCTATTCCCATTTCGCTAGGAGGTTTATTTTCTTAAACCAATAATGCATATTGAATGTTATCAAATGCCTTTATGGCATACATGAAAAATACTTTAAGATTTTTATGATTTTCTCCTTAGATCTATTAGTTTAATGAATTATTTTATTTCAGATTTCCTAATGTTGAGTTATCTTGCATTTTTTAAATAAACCTTACACGGTCTGATATATATACTCACTGTGCTACTGAATTCTACTTCCAATTTTTTTATAAGGCATCCTGCATACGTAGTCATAATGAGACTGTGTGTGTGTGTTTTCTTAATGCAGTTATTGGCTTTCATTAAAATAATTTAGGGGGTTTCCTTCTTTTAATACGTTCTGAAACCCTTTAAATAGCATTAGAATTATCAATTCCCTTATGAATTTCCTGTGAGAATTCTGTGCCTGACGTTTTTTGCCAAGAAGGGAAAAGAATTTTGGTTTTTCACTACATTATTTCCTCTATGGTAATTGGTCTATTCAGATTTTCTGTCTCTTCTGGAGTCAGTTTTGGCAAATTATATTTACCTAGTTATAGTACACCTAGATATTATCATGAATAAGTTAGCCCTTATTGTTAAAACAGGGAATATAACTTCTTTGCAAGTGCCCATTTAACTATGCGTCTCTATTTTCAACTTTATTTTCATAGACAATAGTTACCTATGATAGAGTTAAGCAGAGTCTCTTGTGATTCTTTTGATTTCTTCTATATAAGTGATTATTTCTCCCTTTTCATTTCTCATTCTTTGTATTTGTGCTTTCTCTATTTTTTTGTTTTTAAGATTAATTCATAGTTTATATTATATTGTTACTGTGTTTTCCTGAAAAGATAGTTTTTGCATGTATTTATTAGTTTTGCTATTTTTGCATTTTCGGAAATTATTAATTTCTGATTTATCTCTATTAATTCTTTTCTTTCCTTAGATTAATTCGTGGTTTATTTTCTAACTTGTTAACTCACACATGGTTATTCTCTCTGCTTTATTAATATAGTATTTTACAGCTGTAAAGTTACCTTTGCGTTTTGCTTTACCTGAGTCTCATTGGTTCTGACACAGGTTTTCATCGTTGTTATTTCCTATATCGTATCCAACTTTAGTTTGAATTTCAGTCCCACCCAGGAGTTAAGAGAGCTCCTCCTTTTCAGATTTCTAGTAGCGGTGGTAGTTTTGTGTAATCTGGTTTTGCTGTTAATTTCTACTCTTACTGTGTTATGATCAGAGCATGTTGTCTACCTTTTTCCTTTCTTCAATTTAAGATTTTCTTTATAGTTTAATATCGTCAATTATTATCAAATTATCAAATTATCAATTTCCTATGGATACTTGAGGATATATTCTCTGTTTTAACAATAAAGACTATCTCATGACCTTATTTAGGTGTCCTATAATTTCACTTATTTTTTCTCTTCTTGACTCAAATGATTAATCTCCCACCACAGATGGGTTTCTGTTTTTTATTGCATCACCTTCTATTGTTACTTTATGAATGCTAATGCTATTTTATTTGATAATAGATATAAATTATTCATATTTTCTTAGTGAACTGTGCCCTGAAGTGTTACAAAGGGCCGTACTTTTTTCACTTAACAGTTTTTGGCCTGAATCCAACCTTGTCTGGTGTAAAATCACTCTCTCTGCTCTTTTTTTTTTCTTTTTTGTTGTCGTGAGGAAGATTGGCCCTCAGCTAACATCTGTTTCCAATCTTCCTCTTTTTGCTTGAGGAATATTGTTGCTGAGCTAACATCTGTGCCAATCTAACTCTATTTTATGTGGGACACTGCCACAGCATGGCTTGATGAGCAGTGCTAGGTCCACGCCTGAGATCTGAACTCATGAACCCTGGACCACCAAAGTGGAGCACGGGAACTTAACAGCTATGACATTGGGGCAGCCCCACCATCTCTGCTCCTTTTGTTTACATTTGCTTAATTTACTTTGCCCTGTCCTTTTATTTTTATCCTTACTGAATTACTTTGTTTTAGGTATATTTCTTGAATTCAGCCCTGAATTTGCTTTACAATACTGTCAAAATGTACTTTTCTTTTCTTGTAAAAAGATTTTTAAAAAATTATGTATAACATAGGCAACATTTTTTAAAGTCATGAAATTTTTATTTAAGAAATTTCACGTGATTTCTTCCACTGCCAATCACCTTAGTTCCTATGAAGTCTGAGTCATAATCTTCAAGATGGCCCTTTTAAAAAGAACTTTTGCTTAATCCACAGTTGTGATGTCAGTCAGTCCACCATTCTTTTAGTTGGGCTTTTCTCCACTTGAGTATAGACATACTTTCAAAAAGTCCCCACCTGTAATCTCTGAGATCCAATTTCTTCAAGAAATTTACTTTAGGGCTGTGGAAGTTAAATTATAGGAAGTACATTGCTATGTTGGCAAATGATATAAAATATACTATTCCTTAATTGTTTCTAACATTGAATAGTCTTGTTACATCCAGTTTTTACTTATAAGCCTAGCGAAAAATGTTAAGGTCTAACTGTCACCACTGCCATCAACTTACTGTGATGGAAGCATAGATTGTGTCTCAATGTAGCTGCATTAACAATTTCTGGACCCCATGAACAACAATGCTCATTTTCATCTGGAATGAGGCTTTGTACATTTTTTTTTTTTAAAGATTTTTTTTTTTTTCCTTTTTCTCCCCAAAGCCCCCTGGTACATAGTTGTATATTCTTCGTTGTGGGTCCTTCTAGTTGTGGCATGTGGGACACTGCCTCAGCGTGGTTTGATGAGCAGTGCCGTGTCCGTGCCCAGGATTCGAACCAACGAAACACTGGGCAGCCTGCAGCGGAGTGCGTGAACTTAACCACTCAGCCATGGGGCCAGCCCCACACTTTTTTTTTCGCTGAGGAAGATTTGTCCTGAGCTAACATCTAGGCCAAGCTTCCTCTATTTTATGTGTGGGATGCCACCACAGCATGGCTTGGTGAGTTGTGTGTAGGTCAGTGCCAGGATTTGAACCTGTGAACCACAGACCACCAAGTGGAACACAGGAACTTAACCACAATGCCACCGGGCCGGCCCCCAAAATGAATTTGTTAAGTTCTCTTCCAAATTGTTGAATAAAATTAGCAAAGTGGAATGCACTTTATGTCCCACAGTTTCATATCCCAGGGCCTAATTTGAAAATCAAGACTTTCCTGTAAGCAAACTCAGACCTGGAGCATACTTACTCAGCCTGCAGGCCCTGTGGCGACTAGATCCTTAAGGCGTCCTTGCTATTCTTGAGTCCTCCTTGCACAGGCCTCCTTCTTCTCCAGAGGAACTAAGGGATCGAGAATCCAACCCTCTTGATAGACAAGGATGCTAAGGGAATTAAAGTTCTCTAAGGATTACTAGCATAGCAGTGGATGCTGCTATCCTGAGGCACTTGATAGCTTCCCTCCATTTCCTTGGAAGGGTCATTCCCCTGTGTTTAACTCTAGACTCTCCTACTACAAGATGGGGCATGCGGCAAAGGCATCGTGAGATGATTTTGACCATTCCCAGACATCACATTCTAAAGACATTGAATCACAGAGTGAGAAAGTCTCTCTTTTCAATTCTCTCTCTCTCTCTCCTTTTTGGCTGACCTCAAGCAGCAAGGCTCAATTTGTCACTCGTATGTTTTTAATATCTTCTTTTAACACTTGCAGATCTCCCATATTAAAAACAAGCAAGCAGACTGCTTGCTCAGAGCCTTTGATCCTAGTGCAATGTGTCTAGGATTTCATGACATTTTATTGTTGGTTTTCACTGCACTTATTTTTGAAGTTATTTTCTGTTTGCAGCTTGTGATATGGTTTGATATAAAGTTTGTTTTTAAAATGCATTCAAGAATATTTTTTAAAAAGAAGTCTTTCAAAAACATATTAGGTAAACAATACTGTAGATGGTATATAGATGTGATCCCCCCCAAATCATAAAAGCAGTAAGAAAACAACCCAAAATTGAGAAAAACTGGTAAATTGGAAAGAGCAAAGTCAGAAAGGCTGAGATCCTAAACCCAGGACCAGCCTTTCCTAGCTGTTTGACTTTGAACATGTTTCTGAACCTCTGTCTAAGCCCCAGGTTCTTCCTTTTTTTTTTTTTTTTTTTTTGAGGAAGATGAGCCCTGAGCTAACTACCACCAATCCTCCTCTTTTTGCTGAGGAAGACTGGCCCTGAGCTAACATCCATGCCCATCTTCCTCTACTTTATATGTGGGACGCCTACCACAGTGTGGCTTCTGCCAAGCGGTCCCATGTCTGCACCCAGGATCCAAACCAGCGAACCCCGGGCCACCGAGAAGCGGAATGTGTGCACTTAACCGCTGCGCCACCGGGCCGGCCCCAAGGTTCTTCCTTTTTATAAAACAGTTGGAAAAAATCTCCAAAACCTAGTAAGGTTGTTATAAGGGTTGTTACAGTAACAGGTACAGTACCTCCTATATAGAAGGCTCTGGACAAATGTTAGTTGGTTATCTCTGCCTTCCAAAGGCCCACTCTTCCTTGGAGATGAAACACAAACGTCATGATCTTTATGACACTTCTGCTGATTCCTGCCATGTTAGAATGTGGCCATTAATCCCCACATACTGCTTCCTGTATTCATCCTACGTTCCATTGTTTGGATCTGGAGTTCAGGATTTGCCTTGTTCCCTGTACTTGATTATAAGCCTCATGAGGGCAGCTTTTTGTCCTAAGCCTTGTATATTATTGGTGATTAATACATATTTGAGTACCTTAATTCAATTAATCATTTATTCAGTGATAAGTTTGTGCCCAACACATGTACCTTAATCATCTGATCTGCTGACCACCGCCGGGAGGCCTTGAACTCATCAGTACAGAGCCTGAGAGTCTAGACACACAGAAGGTACTGTCCCCAAACAGAATCATTCTCTCACACATAGTATGACCTATGCTTTTGCAAATGTGTGCAGATGCTGTTGTGATTAAGAAAGCACGATTCATTTAAAAGTATGATTAAGTTTTGATTATGGTGTTTTTTTCCTCAATTGATACCCTCATGAATGAGTCTGCAAATTTTTTTGTTTGCTTTTAATATTATGAGTCTTTGCACTGAAAGTGATTGGGAAACACTAGATTAAATGGCACTCAAAAGCATTGTACTGCCCTTGGCTTACACTCTCAAAGCTGGTGTCAAGATAGTTTCCGGTTTGATAAGACTGTTAAGATTGTACCATAATATCAGACTAGTTCATGAGATGTAAGTGTGTCTTGCCTGCTATACAGTGTAGAAAAAAGGAGTTATGTACTAGTGTTAGATGTATGGGTCATGCCAAAAGCAGCAGTATGTATTGCTACAAAAATTACATGCAGCATTATTTATATAAAACATTTCGAGTTCATTTTCTCTTTTTATCATGTGGCCACTTTGTGAAACACGCAGGTAAGATTTTTATTTGACATAAGAGGAAACTGAAGCATTGAGAGGTTGTGACTTGCCCATGGTCACACTGATGAATGAAAGTTGTAGAACTCTGTTCTCTTGGCCTCAAACACTTTCCCATTCCCTGGACAAAGTACACTGCCCTGGAGACCTGGGCAGGAATGTGAGTGTATGAATGGAGGCCCACATACCATATGCATAAACATTCAAAAGTTATAAATCAAAGAAACAAACTGTTTAGTAAAATATGTTCTATTCTCCTACCTTGACAACTATATCTCCATAATGACCTGGAAGGTATTCAGAATTTTCCAATTCCTTGTAATTCTCACCAGATGACTTGGCAGTGCAGGAAGATATGGCCCTGGCTCCCATCTCTGTCCTGCCCCTCTTCTCTCTCCACTTCCAGCTCTAACCCATCCTGGGAGGGTCTTCATGCTCACACATGGGACAATCCAGCCCCCACATCTAAGCTCTGTCCATACTTCCTTCTAAAAGCTGCCCCTTGGCACTAGGGACCTGATTATCCAGAGTGTGGTGTAGACGAGGGGCAAAGGCTCTGATGGGCATGCCACCTGGGTCCTGCACATCTCGTGCCTTAAGGGGAGGTGCATGGCTGGAGGAAGGCCAGAAAGGACCTCTAAAGCACCGGGCCGAGAGTAAGAGTTCTGTCCTCTGACATAAGGATGGTTTTGGTCTGTACTTGCTCTTTTAACTTCAGCATTTCCTGGGAAGAAAAATCCATTGAAACAGTTGCCTCATAGATATAAAACTTCATAATCTTCCTACTTTATTATTAAACTCCATTCCGTCTTACAGAACTGTAAAAATATTCAAGTCACTTTATATATCTCAACTCCCAAAACAAAAAACTATTGCTCTAAATTGACTTGGAGATATTAATAAACAATGATAGTCAAATTCTTCAACATAGGATACAGAGAGGAAATTGCCAAAAGAAATTCATAAAATATAGATTCTTTTTTTTTTTTTTCAAAACCTAATTCGTGAACTAAATAGATGGAAACCAATTTCCCTTTAGGGAGGTGAGCCTTTGACAGCTGAAGACTAAATGTATGTAGTTGAGTAAAACAATATCCCACACTCTCCAAGCTTTTATTAAAGAGGTCAGAAATAAGAGTCCAGATCAGGAAGGGTCCTGGATCTGTTTCACCGAGACTCGCCTGCCTTTGGTTTTCTCATTCCGATTCCCCTGATCTATCCACCCTCGACTCTCAGGAATTCTGGCCCAAACAGAGTTCTTTTCTTTGTTTCCATTTAGCAGAGCTAACATCTGCTGACATTTCCAAAATATCTTCCCTAAAGAGTAAGGGCAAAGTTAATGAAAACAATTATAGAAAAACACAAATAACTTAAATATGGCTTCCAGAATAACGTTTCTGTTCTTCAGTTACTTAACTGCATTTTAACAGCCACAGGCTATAATTTCCCAGGTAGCACACATGGTTTCTTTCCCTAGGGGCTCCCTGCCTCTTTCTTGACTGGGGGCCTCCTCCTACCATCGCATCATCCTAAACTCCCCAGGAATAATTTAATCATCCGTTTGGTCCTGTCCTGTGGATGAGCATCAGATACCCGGATGCATATTCATAGATTGCTTTGGAACCTCTCACACAGGCTCTGTTTTCAGTTGGAAAGAAAAATCTCTTGCTAAACTAATTGTAAGGATATTGTTGATTGATAAATAGATAAACTTCAGTGATCAGGTCTCTTGATAGCTGAAGAATTCGGAAGAGATCTTTCTCTTTTCCCCAAATACAGGGCAATGAACTCATCCATTATTAGCCCCCATGAGGATATGCTGTATTGACCACAGAACAAGGTGCAGGCATCAGCTAAACATTAGCATTGCTCAAAGGAGTCCTTGGCTTAAAATGGTTGAAAAGGAAATTCTCTGAATTACTGCAGCCAGGGAGGACATTTATGAAGAAAGTGTAATAACCTTCTCTTTTTTGACCAATCAGGATCTGCTTTTACAGTGGAATACAATTTAGAACTGCACTGATCAATCCAGTAGCCACTAGTCACATGTGGCCATTTAAATTTTAACTGATACTAATTCAAATCAAATAAAATTTAAAATTGAGTTCCACAGTTGCACTTGCCACACTTCAATGCTCCATAGCTGCATGTGTCTTGGGCTACTCTGTATTGGACTGCACAAAACAGAACATTTCCATCATCACAGCAAATTCTGTAGGACAACACTGATCCAGAAGATATTCTTCCTCCTAACAAGGAATAGAATTTAAAATGTTTTTCCTGTTACCAGAAGCTTGGGCAGAATATGAAGTGCTCAGGAGAACGATAAAAAATGCAGGGCTCACAGGCAGAAAAGGAAGCTTTGTTAGTTAGTACGTAACACATTTTTAGAACATTTTCAACATTTTGGGAGGAAGCACCACCTATTTAACAATTGATGGATGGGGGAAAAAAATCTATGCTTAAAGTGAGTTTTAAGTTGCATAAATGGAGAGTCAGAATAAACAGCCTGAGGTGTGAAGTGGAGTCCCATGGCAGACCAATTTAGGCGGAACCTAGAAGAGAGAATTGGTGGAACCAGAAAAAAGAGAGATTGAGACCAGACCAAAACAGATATTGTTGTCTCAGCAGCTATATCTGGCTAAGAGATTTTGCCGGTTTGTTAGTGAAAAAAGAATTATAAACTAATATCAGAACCCCAGTACATGTCTTTTATAGTTAGCTACATGTGATTTTGCTTAATTACATAGTAAAATTATATATAGTGAAAAAATGGTAGATGATATCAGAGAGTGTTCCAGGATGGTAAAAAAATCAGATGAAAAATCTTTAGGAAAATTAAAGCTATGAGTAAAGTGGAGAGAAATTATAAAGGAATCTTAGAAAGCAGGTGGACCTACATTTAATGCTACCTGCCTCTAATTATTTAATTTCTTTTATGTTACTTTCAAATATATATTCCCCGTCTCACATAGTTCACATATATAAGATTTGGGTAATTCATTCACCTTCCAGAGGTTTCTGTCTGGAAAATTGATTCTTTTGAGGACTGGCTATCACTCATCATATTTTGGTTGCTGTTAACCATTTATCTCCTGTGTCTTTTTTTTTTTAAGATTTTATTTTTCCTTTTTTCTCCCCAAAGCCCCCTAGTAAACAGTTGTATATATGTTTTAGTTGTGGGTCCTTCTAGATGTTTCAGCATGGCCTGATGAGTGGTGCCATGTCCGCACCCAGGATTCGAACTGGTGAAACCCTGGGCCACCACAGCAGAGCACGGGAACTTAACCAGTTGGCCACAGGGCCAGCCCCTCCTGTGTCTTTGATAAACCTGTTGCTGCAGGATAATGATCATGCACAACCTGCTTCAGAAGTAGATTGCTCTTGTTGAAGGATGTAGAACTTGATTCAGTGGCAGAAGCACGGTAGTATTTTTTTTCTTTTCTTAAATAATGAAATCAAGAATTACACACAGACATACACACACACAATTTTGAAGCCTCCCTACCCCATGACATAGCAAGTTTCATAATGTACTTTGAATATTCATGCATCTTCCAGTCCTCCACCTTCAATTATAGGTAGAGTTCAGCAAAACTATTTTAGGCCTATGGTGAAGTGAAAATGCAAAGTTCAGTTTACATCAGGGAGATAAGCGGAGTTTGATTAAGACAAGAAAAAAACATGTATGTGCCCTGCTGCCAGAAGGATGCCTCACCAACAAAGTCAACACAACAACAAGCCAATAATTGCATCCACCCCACCACTTTCTCACTATCCATTAGTTCCCTCCTGTTCTTCGTGTCCCTTTTCATGCAGTTTATATTCCATAGTCTACCATCATAATTCTCCAATAAAATATCTTTGATTCCTCTACTGTTTTCTCTGGTAGGCTAAAGTGCAACCCTATAAGAACCCAACTATCCCAGCTTCTCTTGCCCTGCATCTGAGCAGCTGAACATTGATGGAGAAAATTATACATTAGCTTCATTCTACCTTTGGAATTGTAGTCCTCCAAAGAGCCCTCTATACAACACAGCCCTCATACTACTTTTCCTGTAGCTTTCTTCTTGGCTCTCAAAAGTACTATTTCTTCTCCATCCCAAAATCTGCTAACTCTTACCCCTTGAAAACTCTCAGCTGACAATCTTGCTTCATTCTTTGTTAAGAAAACAGAAGCCATCAAACAGGAACTTCTTTCTTTCCACCTTTACCCATCTACCAACCTGGATTCTCCCTCCTATCAGAGGCCATTGACACAACATGTGTTCTGGATTCCAGCTGCTCTAGCCACCCCCCGGACTTTGCTCCATGAGTTATCAAACACTCCCTCTCTCTGGGATCATTTCCAATGATATATGGACATGCTTTAGTGTTGTCCATTCTAAAAAGCCTTCCTTGATCTTACCATCACCCCCCCCAGCCACTGTACATTTCTCTGTTCCTTTTTACAGTAAATTTTCTCTTCCTCTTCACTTTCTATTCCCACCACAATCCTCTTCAATCTGGCTTCTGCCCTATAGTCCACCAAAACTGCTCTTACTAAGCACCGTAGATTGTTCTTAGCAACCTCCATGTGGACCAAATCCAATGCACACCTTTCTATCTACATCTTTCTTGACCTTTTAGCTGCATTTGACAATGTCACTACTTCTCCTTTGAAACATTCAATTTTCTGTCTTGATTTCTTGATCACTCTCTCATGAGTTTCCTGTTATCTCTCTGACTCACCTCTCTCAATTTCTTCATGGTTCCCCTTCTACCAATTTCTAAATGTTGGGGTTCTCTAAGCTTTCATCCAGGGCCCCAGATGCTTCTCTTCACTAGGTGATCCTTCCAGTCCAAACCTCTTCTCTGAGCTATAGACATTGTTTTCCAACTTCCTACCTAACATGTCCACTTAAATGCTTCACAGGCATTTCAAACTTAACACATGTAAGATTGAACTTAATAATTTTTGACCTACCAAACCTCTGGGGTCTCCTATCTCAGTGGATGATACCACATTCCACTTAACGGCTCCAGTCAGAAATCTCACTTCTCATATCTAATCAATCATCAAGTCCTATCTTTAGCTTCAAAATATATCTAAGATGTCAGTGTGAAGTTGCCATTTCTCTCTTCTCTCACAGGAAATCATACAAAAACAACCAGAAGTATGAAAGAAAGAAAGACAGAAAGAAAGAAGGGAAGAAACAGAGAGAGAGAGAGAGAGAGAGAGAAAGAAAGAAGACAAGTAAAGAAGCAAGGAAACTCACAAGCTATATTTCCCATTAAACTAAGGAAACAGCTAAAATTCCAAACCACAAAATAAATGGAATAGTTCCCCCAAAGCAGGGGAGAACACGCAGGGCTGCACTTAGTGAAAGCAGAGAGAGGGTCCATGGATATAAACCTTAGAGACAGCAAAGAATGTTTCTTAAAGGTGAAAGGTAAACCTTTATTTGCAAAACCAAAATCCCTTGTTTGTAACAGCAAGGACAAGGTACCCATGCTGGCCACGAGAGTACCCTGGACCTGGTTTGGTTCTGAGAAGCTTGCGAGGAGGATCTAAATGAGGAAATATATAGACAAGCAATATTTACAGGAAGCAGTCTATCTCTGTGGCAGAGCAGGAAAAAAAAAAACACATTGTGAAAATTCCCTGCCTGTCGCCATTGGCTGAGGAGAAGTAAAGGCTAACCAAATTATACAAAATTGAAGTTATAAAGAAATTCAGCTAGCTTATAACTGGCCCTGGTCCTTCTACCTCATGAACCTCTTGCAAGGTGTGATATAGGAAAAACTCAGCTGCTTCAGAAGTAAGTAATCAAAAAGGAATGTGCACAATATCCATACAAAGACGCTATGCAAAGAAAAGAAGAAACAAAGGGTTGACAAAGCACACTTACCAGAGAAATGTTTCCACAGAGCTGCTGAAAATTATGATCCAACATTTTACCATGAATCTTAAGAACAGAATGAATGAATCTCCTCTATCATAAAAAAACATAAAACAAAGGTATAAGAGCTTGTGGAACAGATGTTAACACAACAGGAAGAAA